TACATCACTACTGGGTAAACCATGGCTTTAACTATACGGACTTTTGTTGGCAAGGTGATGTCTCTGCTTTTTAAGATGCTGTCTAGGTTTGTCATTGCTTTTCTCCCAAGAAGCAGGCGTCTTTTAATTTCGTGGCTGCTGTCACCATCTGCAGTGATCATGGAGGTCAAGAAATTAAAATCTCTCGCTGCCTCCATTTCTTCCCCTTCTATTTGCCAGGAGGTAAATATTTTAATATGAAATTAGGATGCATGTTTTGTTTTCCCCCCTAACCCAGTTTAGTAGTAGATACTGGCTTCAGTTCCATAAAGCAATGAAATGAACAGCCCTGCTTTTTGGATAAAGTTACTAGCCTGATAGATCAAAGGAATACTCTGGATGAAGTATAACTTCATTTCTCCAAGGCTGATATGATATTCTCATTGATAAAAATGTTAGAAAATCTTACTGTTATCAGACAATGCCACTGTTGGTAGATTTATAGCTGATTGCAAAATTCAGAGAAGAGTGAATTTCGAAGAATGGTGGTGCTCCAGTTTCAGGAACTGTGAATGAACTAAGTTCTTCTTTACAGGTGAACTGAACCAGATTTCTCCCCCACCTCAAATTCCCTCTAGGGCTCTCAACCTCTTTCTTGCGGCTGAAGCTGTGCCTTTAAATGCCTCGCATGCAGAAATTATGAAACAAATTAAACTCTTCCTGACCTGGCAGTGCAGTAGTGGGAAAGAAGCTTTAACCTATTCTGTTTCTGTGCATTGGGGCCTGCAAAACTGTCAGCATCTAATATTCCTCAGCAGAACGTTGCAGGGAGAGGGGAGTCTAAAGTCAATGTTGTTATCCTATAGGTGAATTGTGCTTGAAAATCTCGTCAACTGGCTTAAACCAAAGTGAGAAATGATTACTTGAGCTGTCGCATTCCTCTGTTCTGTACCTGCAAAGATAAGCAATGTGAATAACAAAATAAAAAACTAATGGCAGGTGGGGGGGGGAGTTCAAACGTAAAGCTTTCTGCTGAGTCAGCTCAGATGGCCACAGCAAATTTTATATTTAGATATGTTCAGCACTTTTTCTGCAACTCATTCTATTTTCCTGGCTCATCTAAATCATCACTGGGTCAGTCTTGTTGCTGCCAACTGCCAGCTAGCGATGAATGTCCCTTGAAAATAATTTGGTAGGCTTGGCATAGAAGGACTGATAGAGGCTTAATTTCTCTGCATGCATCAGGCGTGTGAACAAATATATTTCTTTATTACAACAACACACGTTTACGTATTTCAGAAGCCCTCCACCCTCAAGAAAGATAACTGGAATCAGCAAAAAAAATTGCCAGACTTAGCAGAACCTTAAATTGTAGTATAGTTTGTTGAGCCTTTCTGAATAAGGCATAATCTGTAATAAATGATGAGCGAGGATGTGCCTTGTTCTCTAGAAGGGGAGAACTGAGTAGCCAGGCTTGTTACATTTTTGCATTTTCATTAGACCAATGTAAATTGGGGCATAATGCTATGATTTCCAAAAGCACACTGGGCAGAGATTGGATGTGGTGGAAGTTCTACTCTGCTAGTGGAGAAGGTGACCTTCTAGCAAGTTGGCACATTCACCACTGGAGCCCCCCACCCACCCCATGCAACATCAGAGAGTAGCACAACTGTGGTAGAAATCTCCAGTGCTATTGCTGTCTGGCCAGTAGTGGACTGCCAGCAGGGTGGGCTGAAACAGTCTGTTCCAGAGATGTGTTGTGTGTGCGTGTTGAGGAGTGTTTTGGGGGAGGTGGGAATCCATGGGCTCCTAAGTCCCTTCCATTCCCTGACATGTCCCCAAACAGGTCCCAAAATTATACTAGTCTCGGCACTGTAGTAACCTATTCTCTCCGACTGTGGTCCATTGGAAGCAGAAGCAGGATGGGGGAGAGAAGGAAAAGGCTGGAGGAAAATTTTCCATCTGGCTGACTAGATGCTGTGCTTGTTCTGCCATGGAATGCCCCTCAACCCCACTTCCTACTGGATTGCTCTGCCCACTTTCATAGCACATATCATTAATATTTGTCACTTTAATTTGGTACTTCTTCATTATCATGTATAATCCTGTGATCAAATGAAGGAACGATCAACTTGATCATCCCATTTGCTTAGTACAAAATGTACATGTAACCTTCAGTGCAATCAACAAGAAATTTGATGGCATGGGATTGTTGCTGCTACAGAAAATGCTGGTGGGGCATCTGGCTGTTGCATTTTTTATTCCTTTTTTGGATGCCTCCTGGTGCCTCCCCCTGCCAATGCTCAGTGCCTATCAGGACAGTACTTCAGAGCAGATATTCAGGGCCTGTTGAGTAACCAGAGCCCCCTCCCCTGTGGCGGAGCTAGCTGCTCAGGCACCTGGACCAGCACACATGCCGTGCATCCAGGGGCAGGGCAATCCGCCCATGGGGGCTCACCCCCACGGAGGCGGGGTGATCCACCCATGGGGGCGATCGACGTGGTGGTGTGATCCATCTGGGGACCGATCGCGGCATGGCAGCGATCCGCCCAGAGGGGATTTTGTCACACACACCCCGGGATGACACCCAGGGTGAGCTGCCCCCACCGAACCTGTTTCCTACGCCCCTGCCCCTGCCCCTTCCTTCAAAAGAAAAATCCAGCAGGGCTGTCTTACCACATTTCAAAGTGTGGTGATTCACATTGCAATCTAAAAAGTCCATTGTATGACTGTTAAGGCAGGAGTCTAAAATTACCCAATTGCCCTGCTACGATTTATGCTTGTATATAATATTATTTGGGTATCTGTAAATTTTATTTAGTTCCACTTTTGTTTGCATAACATTAGGGATGACATTTTTAAAGGAGAGCACTATGTCTTGCCAGACTTTTGTTTATGTTTTTAATATAATTTTATTGGGGTTTTTGGACCATTTGTGGATTGCTTTTAACAACATAAGAAGAGCCCTGCTGGATCAGGCCAATGTGGCCATCTATCTGGTCCAGCCTCCTGTTCTTACAGTGGACGCGGGTGGCGCTGTGGTCTAAACCACTGAGCTTCTTGGGCTTACAGATCAGAAGGTTGGCGGTTCAAATCCCCACAATGGGGTGAGCTCCCATTGCTCTGTCCCAGCTCCTGCCGACCTAGCAGTTTGAAAGCATGCCAGTGCAAGTAGATAAATAGGTACTGCTGCGGCAGGAACGTAAATGGCGATTCCATGCGCTCTGGTTTCTGTCACAGTGTTCCGTTGTGCCAGAAGCGGTTTAGTCATGCTGGCCACATGACCCGGAAAGCTGTCTATGGACAAATACCGGTTCCTCGGCCTGAAAGCAAGATGAGCGCCGCAACCCCATAGTCGCCTTTGACTGCACTTAACCGTCCAGGGGTCCTTTACCTTTTTTTTTTTTAAAAAAAAGCACCTCTTACCAGGTGGCTAGGGAAAGTTTTCAAGCAGGACCTGAAAGAACAACCCTCCCCATTTGTGATTCCCATCCTGAAACATACTGCTTCTGACAATGGAGATAGTTTTATTCCCAGAAAGGGCACTTGTGCACTAACATAAAAATAACTTAAATAACTAACAAGTTGCTGCCCTTTCATGACTGCCAAAATCAGCCGCCTGGGGGGCAGCTACCTCACTCTACCTAATGATAGGGCCGGCACTGTCCTTATCAGTCTCTGGTGCAGGCCAGCTCTCAAAACTGTGTAAAGGGTGTATGGAAATAAGTGCTGCATTCTTTGTTTATTCCACACACAAACACACACATAGTTTTCCTCACACGTCTCCTCTGTGGGACAAAGCTGCTACTTTAATGACTTGGTACAAATACATATAAAACCAAAAGGGGGAAACTTAACAAAGACCGTAATGAGTACAATTTAACAGCTTCATAATAAAAGCAGAAAATGTTAGCTTCAACAAAGAACTGTAGGAGCAAATTAGTTCATTAGTTGGGAAATGCTTCCAAGTACTGTGTGACTCATCGTCTCAATCTGTTTCAGATACGTGAGCGTGTCTGTGTGGTCACATACAAGCAGCTAATCTATGCAGTGTGATTCGTGCTATCTGACTGTATCAAAATGATACCATGAGGAACATACAAGTGGCGGGGGCTCTTTCCTCGTTTCCTTGCTTCCAGAGAATACACAGACTCTTTGAGCTATGCATGACCTCGAAATTAGACTCTTGTTGTAATAGGCACTACATGGAACTGCTGCAGGTAGACAGTTTGGAAATGACAACAGACTCAGGACAGCATGTTGACATGTTTTCAGGCCCATTTTTATAGTTCTCCGAAGTCCTAAGAAGTGTGGGGTTTGGCTATCTCAAGGGCAAGAGGAAGTTACCTTCCCTTCTTTCTTGCACATTCACAAAGGTAGCTGCTGAGTTGCTAGTGAACAAAGGGCATGTCAGGGCAAGATCTGACCAAACTGGTTCCTTTATCCTTAACAATCACGAAAGAGGTCCTATATGCTCCTTAATTGTGGGTCTCTTTTAGACAGAAGCACCATAGTGGGGGGATTCTTGAAAGATCATGGAGACCCATAACATTTCAGCTTGCTTGTTTATTTATTTCACCCCCTCCTTTCATTCACAGGTTAGCCTGAGAGATAATAACTGGCCGAGGATCACACAGTAAACTTCCTAGTATCAGGAGGATTTAAACACAGCTCTCTCCACACCTAGTCCAAAACTCTAACCACCCTGCCACACTTACTTTCTACAGCCCATGGAGTCAAGGGAGGTTACATGGTCCAATTCCTTTGGGCTTACTAGAGTTGAATCACATTTTCTGAATAATGTGGTGTAGTTAAGCAAGCAAAGCACACTTCCACTACCAGAGGAATCCTACCCATGCTTATTCAGAAATAAGGCCTACTGGGTAGGTGAGTATAGAACTGCAGCCCAAATTGCACAGGAACCTAGGAAGCTGCCTTAGACCAAGTCAGACCATTGCTCCATCTAGCTCACTATTTTCTGTATTGACTGGAAGCAACTTCACAGGGTTTCTTGTCCTACCTGGAGATGTCAGGGATTGAACCTGAGACCCTCTGCATGCAAAGCAAGACCCTCTACCACCAAGCTGCTGCTCTAGAGCCACTGGTCCTGAGCTCCACCCAACACTGGGGGAGCTTGTCGTGTACATGTGACATCACACATGCAGTACACAGATGTGTGATGTCACACGCATCGGGAGGAGGCTGTGCGGCCCAGTGAGGCCTGCCACCACTGCAGGGAGGCTTGACAAGGCCCAGTCTCTCAAGATTAGAGGGCTCAGCTCCATCCCCACATACTTTGGGGGGGAGGACTGAGGTGTCCTCAGCCCCATTGAGTTAGCCCCTATGCCTAGAGCAGTGTCTCCATACAGCACACAACAAAAATAGGCATATTTTATAATCGAATACATAGCACAAATAAAGAATACTGACCCAAGAGCCGAAAGATGTAGCCTCAGTACTAAATAAGTGACTGTCTGCTCATAGTCTGTGCCAAGCAGCTTATAGGATGGTAGTAAACTTAATTATACACAATACGGTGATAAAAATTGACTCACACAACCAACGTAAATATTCTAGCGAGCAAATATGTATCAGCCACGCTACATGTGCAACTGCTAAACCTATTAAAAAGTGCCATTTATTTTACAAACTAAACTGTTGGCGGCCCTAACTCCATCTGGTAGCACTTTTTGAATATTATAAAGGAGGGGGATATTTGGACCCTATCTGCTTTCCCATGTGCCCATGCCCCTAGGTGCTTAATTCCAGGGGCAGAGGGCCACAGAGTCGGGGGGGGGGGCAAGATCTGGAAGAGTACAAGCAGAGTACTGTTGTTCACACTGCAGGGATGAGGAACCTCAAGTCCAGGGGCCAAATCTGGCCCTGCAAACCTCTTCATATAGCTTCCAGGACCCTCTCCATACCACGTCCCCTCACAGGGCCACACTCTCTCTCACAAGCTCTGCTTCACACGTTCCTTGAATTTTTGAGCCTGGCTGGAATGTGTTTCTCAATTTTGACAATGCCTTTTGCTTCCCTGAATGGAGGATAGAGAAGGGTATGCAAGTGTGTGAAGAAACTAGTCCACTGCAGAAATGGAAACATAAAATTTGCATGTATTGTCCTACCCACTTTTGCCTCTTGCTCTGCCCATCACTGCCATGTGGCCTCCAGAAGGGAATGAGGCCTTTGGACTAAAAAAAAATATCAAAAAGTAGATACAGCTGCCGCTTTTCTCTTACTCTTTCTGACACCCACTTAGTGGGCTGCTGGGAAAGAGACAGTTCTCGCCTCCCAAAGGTCTGCACTTATCATGTGTAGAAGGCTTTTGAAATGAGGCTAAGGGATATGTGAAAATAGGTTGGGAACCTCAAGCTTCCCACTCCTGGAAAAGATGGATATTGGGCTGGTCCTCAAACACTTCTTGCACTCAGATACTACAAAGGATAGGGAACAAATGAAAACTAACTAAATGGACTATGATACTTTGCAGTGTTGGATTACCAAATAGGCAAGGAGGTACCAACCTATGGGCCCTACACTTTTTCTTCTTCTTCTTTGGTGATCACTCATAGCCGAGAAAGATTGTCTTCCATGAACATGGTCTTAACAGTGAGTCCATGACTGTGGAGGCCAATTCTGGATCCATACGTCCTTTCACAGTGGGGAAAGAGGTTTCTGGGTGGGAGTTGATCACCGTGAGGGTTTGCCAAATGTGCCGTCCTCTTAAGCTCGTTTCTCCTTTTCACCCTGAGTTCATGCTTCTTCAAAGTCCATTACACTTTTGGTAAAGGCTATTCTCCAGTTGGAGCGCTCACAGGCCAGTGTTTCCCAGTTACCAGTAGTTATGTTATGCCTTTTAGGGGCCCTGTGACAACGGATCAAAATAATGTTGATTTGGTCTTGAAAGAAAAGTACAATCAAGCTTTCTTAGTTCAAGGTTATCCCATTTGAGCACACACACAACCGCCCCAGATTTCAACTGCCTACGAGCCAGCACAGGGTTTAATCTGACCCTGATACTTTATCAGGATGAGAAGGCAAGTAGTGTATTCCGAAACCAGGGCTAGATTTAGGTTTCATGAGGCCCTAAGCTACTGAAGGGCCCTTTATATGTCCAGCTGTCCTTTGTCAACAACAAATTGTCGCGGTTTTTCATGTTGAATATATGCTATATGGTAATTTATAGACCTAATAGGTATCTAAAGCCATTTCTACATGTTGCCATGCAACCAGTCCATGGAGAATGTAGGCACCCTATATATAGAAATGAGTAAACCAGTGATATTTTAGGAAGCAGGCTAGCAGGCAACGCCCATTACTTACATCATAGGAGCCTACACAACACAAAACACTCTTGCTGTATGAAGGTTTTATTTTATTTGCTTTTTATCTTATATTTTGGAAATGTACATCCAGGTTTTCTTTCCTTTAAATTTTTTTGGGGCCCCCAAGAGAGTGGGGCCCTAAGCTATAGCTTGATTAGCTTATACATAAATCCGGCACTGTCTGAAACAGACACCTGAAAAATCCTATTCCGTATAGTAAGCACTATGGATTTTGCACAGCTGTGCAACAAAGCCTCCAGTATACAACACTTTATTATCAGTTTGGATCCTGAATCTGCTCTAGGGTTTAGTATATTCATACACCCCTTATTGCTGGGATTTCATGGGAGTCTCACTATCAAATCACTGCCTTTTCAGTTCCCCTGTTTGTTCATTTTATACTCGCTGCCATAACCTATGCTTTGATCTTCCAGTGAAATTATACTGCTGGGTATTATTAGACACCTTGATGAAGCTAAGCATTGCACTGATGAGAAAGATGCCTACTCGCTATTCAGGAAAAGGAATCAAGCGGGAATCAGAAGGGGCCACCTGGGACTAGAGAATAATTAAATTGCTAATTGATGTGATGAGCAGTAATAACGTTTGCTCAAACGGCACCCAGACACTTTTTTTAAAAAACAGTACAATGCATTACAAACCATGCCTCAGTTCTCTCTCTCCCAAACACAAAAGATTTTTTTTTAAAGGAAGCAGACAAAATGAAATTAACATGCAGCGTACGAAGTATTTTTAAATTAGAAACGTCATTTGATGCAATATTTAATTCCTTTTTTTAAAAAAAGATATTTATTGAAATTTTCAAAGTGTTACAAAAAATAAAAAATAAAATAGAAGCAGAAGAAAGTACAAATAAAAATAGTTGACAAAGTAGAAAAAGAAAAAAAAAACAACCCCTTCCCACCATATGAGTAAAAATTCAAAATTAAAAAAAAAGTGACAGAAAAAAAGAAAAATATTTAATTCCTGTACAGCTCTATGTTCAGATTAATTTGTGTCTCGTTCGCATATCAGTGACAGGCTGAATGAAGAACTTATTCTCCTTTAAAGATATCTGCTTCCACCTTACCTTTCAGAGTTAGCAGCGTCACCACAGGAACTGGGATGGCATTTCCCACAACTGCTTGTTCTACAGGTGTGAATCTGAGACAAGACAGGGAACTATCCAGCAACCATCTATCAAGTCTATGGCTGAGGTGACATGATTTCAGCCATAACCTCTGAGTTCAAATCCAGAATACACCTACCTTTTGAGTGGGGAGAGGTTCCAAGTGTACAGGGTTTACATTGGTTTTGTTTCCTTTCAGGTGGGGGTGCACTGGAGGTTTCTTGAAGTTTCATAATATTTCTATTTAGCTTCAAATATACAGGTTCTTTTATTACTTTTATGGGCTTTTGCAATCAAAATTATTCAACCCCCATTGCAAATCAGGTTTACTATCAAAATTCACAGACTTACAGCCGTTTGCAATGAGCAAATCAAACAAAAGCAATTGAAATACCTCAACGCAACGGATGCTTCAAGCGGTTTCCTCACATTCAGCTGAAATTGGTTCTGCGTGTGCTCTCCAAATACTTGAAACAACCCACCAACTCTTACAGAGCACTGCTGGTGACTTACCACTCTACCATTTTAGTTTATTCTCCTCTCCTTGCTGTCTTTTCCCTTTGGCATTTCTTCTTTCAGTCGATTTCGAAGTTGGCTTTGTGCCTTCTGTTCTCTCCTCAGGACTCACTCAACACCTCATAAACTGCATTTACAAAGTGATGGAGACACCATCTGGTGAGCTGCCAACTTAGCAGAGATGAGAAACAAAATGGATGAAGCATTGGAGTAGCACTCGGAGCAGTTTCCCACACGACTGTTTTAAACTAGTAGAAGACGTGAAAGAAGTGTACTCCTTAAATATTTTAAAAAATATGCTTGAGGGTTTTGTATCTGCAATATCTGTTAGTATTACATTATGATGGGAGGTGTTGCGATAACCTGTGGAGGGAACCAGGTTGTGGAAGGCTGATCTATAGTATAGTTTTAATTGCATTTTGCTTTTAGATGCGATTGTATCTCTAATTTGAATAGTGAAACGTTTTAGGAATTTCATATCTAAGTTAAGCAGTCATATGCATGTCTCCTCAGAAGTAAATTCCATTAAGTTCAATGGGATTCACTCCCAAATAAGTGGACATAGGATTGTGGTAACAATTGTCACAAAAACAGAAAAACGGCAACAAGCCCGGGAAATGGCCTCGGGCAAAATTTGTTTCTGCCAGTAGAGTTGTTTTTAGACTTTACCAACAGAGACTGCTTTGGCACTCTAAACTCTAATACTAGACCAAGAAAGGAAAAGAAATAAAAATGAGCTTTTTTGGAAGAATGGGTCTCTGGCATCTCAACATGGCTTGATCTGTTTCAGGGGAAAATGTCCCAGTCCCTCCCATTTACAAACCAGGTTTATGGTTATAACAGTCCCACAAGACTGGGGAAGTTAGTATTTTTGTATTAGGGTCAAGTTATAAAAAGTATCGCAGAAGGCTTCCCTTTTAAAGTTGAAGCAGATTTAGGCATTGCAGTCTAGATGCCAATTTCACAGGTGAAACAACCAGTTACAGCAGGCATCACCAACCTTTTGGGGCTATTGGGCACCCAAAAGCATGAACAAGAAAATGTTTGGTTTCCCAGAGCAAAGACTGCAGTCACTGCACTCCAGTCCTGTTGCTCCTGAGCTACCCAGGGCTAAG